CTAAAAGACAACCAACAAGATAGTCAAGTTTAGTCTTACAGGATAACGTCGTTTGGACCAAACTATGAAGTTCCAGACTTCCAGAACATTCAGGTACTTCACCTACAGAGTAATTGCACAACAATTTATTTAAAAACCCAACTATGTGACCTAAACTAGGCAATCCCGGGAAAACTGTTTGTTCACAAATTACTAGCGAACACGTTAAGCTCAGTAAAGTAAGTCGGTGCAAGAATAACATCCACCTTAAATATTTCCGATTGACAGGAGTTTTCGATCTGACCACCCAGAAATCGTACGGCTCCTAACGGTCTAGCAATGGCTGGCGATGATTACCCAATAAAGTTCCATCGTATGTACACTAGGCTCCCTGACGCTGGGGAGAGGGACCAAAACTGGATAGAGGGGACTCCTGAATACCTTGGGGAATAATCGGAAAAGTGTTTTCTGATATACGGAAAGCACAAGTACCCACGAGTAACTACTAAACCAATATGGCAGATGTAGAAATTAATATACAGAACAGATCAATTCTCAAAAGTGCAAAAATGACCATGAAGTACATTAAAAGTATTTACCTATTACTGAGCAATCGCCCCACTACATAAACATCCTCCAACATACTAAACCAACATCAATACATGAATAAGCTTGCCTACCTCTTCGAGATAACCTACATCAAAACAATTCATGAACAAAGTATGCGATGAAAACGTTAGTTATGGACACCATACTCCCTAATAAGAACCACTAAGCCTCGCTGTAATGTCCGCCGGACAGCGGTGAGATAGGAGGGCACTACAGTCAATGGGCCACTAAAAGCCTTGTAAAGACCCGGTGATACCGACAGAGACAAATAACTTTAGACTAAGTAGCTAAACGCCCTACGAAGTGTCACTGTTTCTTATCATACCCGCTTTCTATACTGGACAAAATAAGTTAGGGATATTGCTATTTTTATGATTGATATTTTATCAGAGTGTCTGTGAATAAATAGATCATTATTCCTACTTTCAAAATTTACATATATCCCTAACTATTTTTGTCCAGTATATTTACACTTGAAGAAGATGTCCATAGAGCTAGATGTACATGGCTAACTGTACATGGCATGCTGGAAGGATGGAGTCTTTAAACCACTTGCACGTCAAGCAAGTTGACTGGCAAGGTTTATATTATGTATACCATGTTTCCACGGGTGTTCGAGGAAATATGAGCGCGCCATTGGTACTGCCAGTATCAACCGTCTCAAACATATTAAGCAAATGTAAGTCAGTTGTTGACTTAAAATGCACTGAAACATGGTATAACTCAAAACGGAATTGTAACGAACATCATTTGTCATTGTGTCTTCTGTAAAACCTTTGAAAGTTTTGGTGCGGCCTATGAATGTTGTACATCGACTCAGCTTTTAGCAGAGATTTCTTACGAATGTGGAAATGGTTTTGTCGCTTCTATTAACCTGATTAACACAAACATGGATGAAGCGGTAATTTAAACTGCCTGCACCCACCAAGGATTGCATCATAGTTGGTTCATAAGGTTATTATCCAAGTTCCAATGACGACAGAGACGGCGGGGTGGCCTAGTTGTTGACATGTCACGCCGGATACCTGTGTTCGATTCTCCTCATGGGCACAACGTGTGAAGTCCATTTCTGGTATTCCCAGCTGTCATCATGATGGAATATTGCTTGAAGCGGCGTAAAACTAAACCAACTTACACCAATGTCAGCTGTTGTGCTGAAGTCCATTCGGTTTCCAAATGAAAAACAATGATCATGCATAAAGAAGAAGCTGTATGACACTACCGTATTCCCACGAAGGGTTAAGTCTACCTTAATGAACGAGGTTTGAATATATTTGACAATATTGCAACAATAGCCGTTATAAAAGTGTTACAAATTTCTCTTTTCTCAGAACCTGTTAACACGTATTTATTCAAAAAGGGGCTATAGATCACCAACATCTGAAGGGAATATCACCACACCATTGGGACTTACAGTGCTTTAGTCACCTGCAAGGATCCTCGTCGTTAAATAACATTACTGTTGCCAATAGCCACGTCATTCCTGCGTCATGTTGTTTACAAAGTAAAGGCTGTCTTTACTCCCTAGAGATTTTTGTCATACTAAATAAAACAGGTATTTGTTTTCTGTGCTTCCTAATTACATGTATTTAACTCTTTCTAAGATATTTTTAGGTGTCAGTCTTAACAATGGATGTGTATTAATGGCATCCAACCCTAGTCATGTTTAAAGGTTACATCCATGTCGACTCCATGTTAATTATTGATTCTGTACACACGTAATGTGATTGTAAAGACCCAAGCTGCCTAACAAAACTTGGTGTGTTAATGAGTTGGACAATAGCAAGGAAACTGTCATTACTTTTATGTGTTTTATTATTCATCGAGTTTGTCTTTGTCCGAGAGGTCCATAAGTACATATTGAATTTGTCCGTGTCTAAGAGATCGTTGTGTGTTTAGTATTCCTCTGTCAATCATAGTTTTGAATTGACAAATGTATTTGAAAGGTTCCTGTGTCTTAGAAACGGGCTTGCGGTCTAATTTCGTGGTGTAAGTCTCAAAACATTCTGATGAGAATACTGTAAAAAACAGCCACGAGTGAGTGAGTTAAGTTTTACGCCGCCTTTAGCAATTTTCCAGCAATATCGAGGCGGGGGACACCAGAATTGGACTTCACACATAGTACCCATGTGGGGAATCGAACCAGGCCTTCGTGGTGACATGCGGACGCGTCAACAACTAGGCTGCCACTGCTCCCCAACCGTGGACATATCAATGCCTTCAGAATCAACACACAATGCAAAACAAGGAAGGTGTTACACTTTTAGACAAGGAACAGGTTTTGGTTTGTTTTAGGGTCATAGTGTGACGAGAGAGGCGAACAGTACAAGCATAGACCGCTAAAAAAATCAATGACGACACTTTGTGTGCGAATGTTCTGCTCCCGTGACTCTAATATGCAAACATAAATACGTGTATGTTGCCTCACGCCTGACAGTAGTACTCCTGCCGTGGGACAGTGGCATGTCAACAAACCAGACAATCTAGTTAAGGACTGGAAACCCAGTCACATCATAGTGAGTTTACTGATGTGAAAACTGACAAAACCGTATACAGGGTACAGATGTCTCGAATCAAGCATCATTCTATGGAATCCGAGAAGGGACATTGTCGCGTTGTCGCCCTCTCAAAAACAAGCCAAATGAGGCAAAATTAACCAAAGTACGACAATGCAACAACGCGACATATTTTGACCTTGAAAATTGTCGCTATGTCGCATTGTCGCCCCTTGGAGGAATAGAAAAATATTATTCAAAACTCGACATGTGACATCGCGACAATGTGACAAATGGTCGAAATGTCGCATTGTCGCGCTTGGTTAATTTTGCCTCATTTTGCTTGTATTTGAGAGGGCGACAAAGCGACAATATCCCTTCCAGGATTCCATATCATTCCACCAGCAGAGACAATCCAGTTAAAGTAAATATAAAAGAAAAACGTCAGAGAACATCAAAGGATTCTCTGATCTTGCAGAGTAAAATATTCCTATTCTAGATTCTAGTCCTCATTATTGCATAAGGACATTTAAAAGCATGAGTTTACATCCGGCTTTGATAAACAACTGAGAAAATAACGTATTGATCTATTTCATACTGTACTGAAAAGCTCGGATTAGAAAGTGTTATTCTGATGTGGTGATGCAATGCCATATCATACGTAACCATAACATTTACACTTATTGTTCATATATGTACTTCAGACAGCTCCTTACACGAAACACTTGCAACGCAACGGTAACTTTTATTTGTTCGCATCCCAATACCATCGTTAATTTTAAGTGTACAAAGTTCGATACTTTGCAAATTTGCTTTCAGCCAAACGTCCAATCAAATCACATGTTTTAAATGCACGCCATACTGTCATTATTCACAGAACAAATGTCTACACCTTGACAAAAAATTAAACCATCAAAAAGGAAATCATTCGGAATCGTCCGCCATTCCTCCTGGAGTGCATGTGTCGATTCCTGCAGATTTTGAAAGGGAGGATCTCCATCTTGAACTTGGCGTCCAAGATAGTCCAAACGATGTTCGAGGGGGTTCATATCTGGGCTCTTTGCAGGCCATGGTTATGTTTCGATGGCGAGGGTCTGCACACGGGCGATGACGACTCGAAAACAATGATGTGAAGCCTAGTGATCTATGATTATTGAACGACTGGCAAGGCGATGGTTATCAAACTGTATCACTAGTGCGAGATCCAGTAGTGGAGTGAGTGAGTATGGTTTTACACCGCTTGAACTATCCAAGCAGTATCAAGTCGGTTCATGCATTGTACCATTGCATGTTTTGAAAGGCATTTAGAAGTTGGACGAACATGAATACATGAAACGTTTTATGGATAACAACTTCTTTTTTATTCTTTATATAAAGTTTCAGAGCTAATTCTTCTCCTTGATCAGCAGAATGCTGAGTCAGGGCAAAGAGTGAAAATATAGAGATTAAAACATGTTTACACAATGCAAGAATTACAACGATAACAATATAATTACGAAGCCAATTAGATTGGATTAATGTACAAAGATAACAATGTATTGTAGTGACAAGGCCAAGAGTGGGGTTGGGGTGTGAACCCACTGTATCCTCGTGGCGAATCGAACCCAGTGACGGCGTGACGGGCGACAGCTTCATCCCAAATGCTCCCCATCAACCCCTCATCTGGATTCCGTTCTGCTCGACACCCTAAATATTAGCAATACGTACATCCAAAGTACTACCTAGGCCGACAATTTCTTATTGTAAATTCTATGAGGATTGTACACTTGTGTATTGCGTCAGTGACAGGACCTAGGACCAGGGTGTTACGACGTTTACGTCAATATGTTTTACAATTTACCTTTTTATTACAATTTACGTCAAGGGTTATTACAACTTGCTGCAAGTATTACAATTTACGTTTTAAGCTCAATTTACGTCAAGGGTTATTACAACTTGCTGCAAGTATTACAATTTACGTTTTTAGTACAATTTACGTCAAGGGTTATTACAACTTGATGCAAGTATTACAATTTGAGATTTTAGTACAATTTACGTCGTACCACAGGATAAAGTCACCGTCAGAGTAAGAAAACACAACTGGCACATACGTTTCACGATAAAAATCAAAACAGTATGTAATTTTCACGCTTGGAATGTTCCGTGAGATCAAATCAAACGTCAAGCAAACCTCCACGACGTTTTCGTCCGAAAAGTCTAGTTTGTGTGATTTGATCATGCATGCTCATTGACAAACACTTCCACAAGCAGTGCCGCACACAGAGACGCCGATAAAAGTATGAACATTATTTATTAATGAAAAAGAAGTCCCAATCTGAACTTAACGAGGTCAAGGTCATCTGATCAAAACGAAAAAAGAACCCCAAACAAGATCAACCTTGTACGGCCTCCATGTGAATGCTGGTTCTCACCAACCCCAGGCTAACCAATACCAGTGATGTCATTGTGGTGACCAAGCGTGGAGTGGTTTAAAAAATATAATGCTGCACTGGTGCTTAATTAAGACAAACATTTAAATCCCTTCACAATCTGAACTATGTATGCACGCTTGCGAAAATAGCGTTCAGTCACTTACACATCACACGTTGGGGTAATAGCACTGTCTTCCCTGGGAGCTGCAAAACAAAAAAACTACATCAAGTGCGTATATGCAAAAATATTCCTGATTTGATATTACAACTTACTTAATTTGTCAAGTGTGTTTTCGTCATATTTCTGCTCTTAGTGCAAAGACACCATCTCAATCTCTAACCTGTATATTTGATGTTTAACTTCACACAGTGTTACATCTGCATGGCTGCAGTCTGTCACTAAGAAGAAACTCTACAAACAAATTATTAATATGAGCAGCCTTCCATGAAGGGGATACCATGACACCCATTGAGCCACGTAATGGGACAACCTCATCAATATAGTCGTACTTGCTGTTTGGACCGTTTCACACACCGTATCCCCTCGTGGGTAAGTGGTTTCTATCATCTACTCTGTGTTAATTCATCTTATTCATTCTGTTCAAGTCAACAGTTATTGATTCTTTTGCTACTTTTTGTCTTCTGCAGTAGTCATGGCAGCAATTGTTCAAGTTATCCTACGTTTGCAACTACTGCAACGTATTGTCCAGCATAAATTGAATTTAGCACCTTTCTATGCGTTACCATGCCTGTCGCTGCGGTGAGTAAGACTGTATTTAGCGTTAGGTCGGCAATATGTCAGCCATATTGTGACGTGAACATTTACAAATTAAAAATGAATACATTTTGAACTCGCTGCAAGAGATTGTTTCTCACTATTTTCACGCTTTAAGACCAAATTCATGTCTGAAGCTGAAAAATGTTCAAACAGAATTATCCCATCCAACCCGTAACCCCCCAAATCCATCGCAATTATTAGGAATAATATGGATATAATTTTAACTTTGTTCTTAATGATTAATGTTCTTAACATCAACTGAACAATGTTTGGCGCCTATCCATTAAATCGGAGAGCCTGACCTACCGCTCCTGTTTGTCAGCTCTTTCGACAAGCATGGCCTACTCTACCATATGTTTAACAACTGAGTACTTAATCATCGTCACTGCGTTACTTCTTTTGTCGGCACGGCGGCTATGTACGTACCACTACACGTTGTATTACACCCCATTGACGGTGACATTACGACTCAATCACAATATTCCTGTGTATTCCTGGTGTTTTATAACTGCCGGAAACAGTCAATTCACTAGCATCTACAGGACAACGGCTATGAATGTTGCAACACATGGTTCCTTTTCTATGACCTGGTGAAGATTCCTGTGACGGATGGTGCCAATATCCCATGCTCATGACACTTACCTAAACAGGCGCAGCGGCCACAAAGCTACCATAGCCTTACGGCTGTCGTAACGCCTATACTTTAACATACACTTAAGAAAATCGTAGCTTTGTGAAACCTGACCATGAATCTAGTTGTTCTAGTCTTCTAGCTATATGATGGCGGTCTGTAAATAATCGAGTCTGGACCAGATAATCAACATCATGAGTATAAGTATACGCAATCGGGAACCGATGACATGTGTCAACTAAATCAGCGAGCCTGACCACCCGATCCCGTTAGTCGCCTCTTACGACAAGCATGGGTTGCTGAAGATCAATTCTAACCCGGATCTTAACGGGTCCTTGAATCGGGTAGTTAGTCCAGGGACTCAGCTGTAACTTCCTTGCTGACGCTTTCAGTCAGAGGTTTGTCACGACTCGTTTGTTTATAGGTAGATGGAACACGTATTACTTTCACTTTGCCACAAAGATACAGTTTACACACGTCACTTCTTATCATGACATACCTACCATCTGATTCAAATACGGTGAGGAGAGCGTTACCATCTGTATAGCAATGACCACACCATCCTCCACACCGAATCTCAATCAACTGGTCATTTGATGACCTTGTCACAATCGGTACTCCTCCAGTCTGCCGCCACATGACCTGTAAGAATTAGTTCAAGAAAAATCAACAAGATAAAATTGATGCACTTCGCCTTTCACATACGGTTGTTGCTTCCCTGATCTCCAGAGATCCATTGATAATGAATTCCCCTTATAGGCGAAATGGACACACACCAGTTCGGCATGGTATACCGATCGCAAGTTTGTCAACCACTGGCATCTCTGCTGTAGTCAAGCTAAGGCCAGACCAATTTTATTTCTTGTTTAACGGCTCCGCCGGTCGTGTTTTTGCAATAATAACAAAAATATTTATAATAATAATTTTCCCCGCTCAAAAATGATAATTCTATCTTTTTATTGACCAAAAATGTAAACTTACAAGAAATGCTTTTAGATTGTTTTTGTTTTCTTGCCCCATATCCACTTCATAAATTGCAAAAAGTAAAATGCTTTTAGTATTTAAAAGAAATATTACTTTGACTGGTGGGGCTTTTCTCCACCTCTCTAAGAAACTGTTTATGAACCACAATTAAATAGTGACGATACAAGCCTAGTCGATTGTTCCATTGCAAGACACCTACACGAATGATACAAAATAGACAAATAGAGACGAAAGAAAATCAGAAAATAACAAACTGTTCATTGATATATACCATTAAAAAAGTAAGGGATATTCCATTTTGCGAGCATACCACTAGCTAATGCCAATGCATTTGAGAAAAGTAAAATATATCCATACAGATAAAACATTTCCAAAGGAATGGAATAAATTGTCACATTTTCCCTTAATTTCTCTTCATCATCTGTTTCCTCTGGCTTCATCATTTGCATTTTATCAATCTTGTAAATCCAATATCGCCTACTTTCTTAAATGGTATATTTCAAATCTCAGTCACGCTGTTAAACATTTTCTATATGATCTGACTTTCTGTCAGCTGATTTGATCCTTGTTTTCAAACGGTTATATAAGATCGTGATAAAATGGTGTTTTGATGCTAATGACTGAATGTTTTCAACCATCGTTAGGTCCATTGTTGATGTTAGAACTATAACATCTCATAATCGACATAAACGGTGAGATGTTGTTTAAAGATTTGAGATATTATGACCATGTAAACTCCTTGACCTTCACAGCTATGTTTTCAGTGTAAATATCAGATCATAACTACATCTTGAACGGGAGCATACAGGAATATTGGCAACGATCTGTTTGGCGTTCTAAAAGTTGAAGATAAGTAATCCAGGTATAATACTTTATGGATAACAACTGCTAAATTATATTTTGATGCGACGTTTCAGAACAAATTTGTCCCAAGCTATGAACTCTTGATTAAGACTAACGGTTTCGTTAAGAGCCAGCCCAGTGCCTCTCAGGTCCATTACCGCCCGTCCTCTTCTTCCACATGTGCTGTCTGATTGGGCGTAGCAGTCTCGGACTTCTCCCACAAGAGCATCCAGCGTGGTTGTCTTGTTGTAGAAGACATGATCTCTGGGCTTAACTTCCATTTTCTGTGAAATGAAGGTCTATCATCGCAGAGAATTGTTAACAAACAGGGAACATTTATAGTTAAATACCTGTTGAAATACTAAGGGGTGTTTAACGTCTGCATCCGGGAAGACAAGTGATACTGAATTCAGATTGTAGTTTCAGATGTGTGATTGAATTCTAACTCAGAGTGGTGGAGCCAGACTTGGCAAATGTCGAAACAGGTTTTCATAAAGGCGGTTAATAACGCAATTGTATGCTGAGTTTGACTGTTAAGAACTGTTCTGTTGATGCATTGCAGTGACTGTTTAGGGGAAGGTTCATCAACCTCCACATATAGATTGTCAGTCGAGGAGGTCCTAAAAGACAGGTTTGACGGTATATTGTGTGGCGTTTTGCTTAAAACAGATTCCATCATGGGCAGATAAGTCATAAGCTTGTTTAGAGTGGAGTTATGGTCTATACAAGTGAAAGAGAGTTAAATAGGCTTTAACAAATCAAGAGCCTTGGGACACTTTGCCTTCACATATATGTAGTAAGAATGTCACATCCCAAATATACTTAATGATGTAGGACGATATTTGATTTGGGTGGATCGGTTCCATCCTGGCACGTTTGGGTACAGGAATGAGTGTCGACGTTTCGTCTTATATATTTAATAGCGTTTCCAAACATGAACCGGATCAGAATTCATGAGCTGAAAACGCATTTTGTCAGTTCCTGCTGCAGTGTCGAGTTTGTGCCTGGGCAGTATGCAATTCAAGGAGAGAAAATCCTCACCATTATCAGCTGAAATTCAGTGGTTTCTTTTCTTGTTTTTGGTATTTCTTAAACTAAGTCTTGGCAATTTCAGTTTGTTGGTTGTTTAACGCCGCTTTCAGAAATATTCCAGCTATATTGTCTGAAATAATCGCGTCTGGACCTGACAATTTCAGATTTTTAAAGATGTTGTATCACCAACTTTGGGATCTCGAAAACAATGTTTAAATCCTTTGCCGACAAAGTACTGTAGAAATCTAGCAATATTCCAGCAATGCCAGGCCTGGGGACAGAAATGGGCTGCACACATTGTACCCATGTGGAAAATCGAATTCGGGTTTCGTCGTGATGAGCGGACGCTTTAACCACTAGACTACCCCACCGCCCTCATCAGCGGATTAGAGCGTCCGCCCGGAGAGCGGAAGGTCGCGGGTTCGATCCCCGACCGCGTCATACCAAAAGACGTTAAAATATGGTACTTGTTGGTCCCTGCCTGGCGCTCGGCATTAATGGGTACAATAAGGACTGGTCGGCTCGGAGTCAGTATAATGTGGGGTATTCATGTTTCACTGCGGTATGGTATCTCAGTGGGCTGGTTATATAAAACCAGCTTCAGTCTGGGCTAGTACAAGCAGACGCACATACACATACACACGCATGCACGTCGTCATATGAGCGAAATATTCTCCAGCACGACGTAAAACCCAATTTCACCTCACCTCACCTCATCAGCGGAACTGATAATTGTAGGTAAAGATAATCATGGACATTGTTCAAAACATTTGAATCCATAAGGGAAAGATCAAAAGCAAAGTATGTTCTAGTGCAAGATTTGTTGGTTTGTTGTTTAACGTCACTTGCCAATATTCCAGCTATATGTCTGTAAATAATCGAGTCTGGACCAGACAATCGATAGATAACATGATGAGCCTCGATCTACGCAATTGGGATACGGTGACATGTGTCAACCAAATCAGCGAGCCTGACCACCCGATTCCTTTAGTCGCCTCTTACGACAGGCATGGGTTGCTGAACGCGGGTGTGCACGGGTCTCTAGTGTCAGGTGTTAACGGGTGCAGCAACATAGTGCACCAGTGGCAGTCCTGCCCTGCCCTGTCCATCTGAATCAACCAATGAGCAGTGCAAGGTCCCGCGTCAAAATACAATACTTGTTTAAACCTTCCCATTTATTAAATTGTTCACAATAACCTTCAGGCATGTTTGGGAATGCTTTTCACTCACACATCAGTGTAGCTGATAGATGAACATGAACACTTTTTGTGTTCAGTTCCTCCATACGCATTAAAGATGCACCAACCACATCAGTTTACCGTTATCCGTGCACCACGATAATTTACCCAAAGACACTCGATTATCGGTACGTTTTGGTGTAATTTAGACGTTTCTTATAAGTACTGCTATATATGATCATACTGTCACTTACCTCAATGTCCAAGCCAAACTTTGAAAATACGAAATATCCGAGCTGTGGTTTATCATTAGGACTTTCTCCAGTGCAGTAGTAATTTTTTAGGCTGGGTGCATCCATGAAATATGGTGTAGGAAGTGAGATGTACTCAGAGGGTGTACTGTTCATTGCATGACAGTACACCTTCACTCTAACTCCATCTAGTTGCCTTGGATACAGCCAATACTCTCCGTCAGTGTTCGTGGAACTGAGTTGCAGAACCTCGGAACAGTTGGACACAGCTGAAACGACAGATGAATTTCCCTGCAGGTGAGCTTAGGCAATCACTGAAAATCTACTGAGCAGTACAGGGCATTCGATGTCTATACATGTAGTATCATATCCCATAGGAACCCTACCATTAAGACATAGTACTGACTCGGGCTGGGAATGCGGTTGGAGACTGAAGGCTTTTTGCAATGAGTGCTTCAAGACACTCACTCTTCTTGGAAATACATTGTACGTGTTTGCTCTCAACACACTCGCAAGACAGAACGATATATTAAGAACACCGGGTGTTATCACTGATGTTCAGTGGTTCATTTATATTTTCCTGTAATCTTTTCTACCTGTTAAAATGACAACCCTGTAGAAACAGAATTATGATTGAAACATTTCAATTCTAAACATGACCTCATAGTTATACCTTTAACGAATAAATTCATCTTAGAAAGATATATAATATTAGAGCGTGTGTCAATGAATCACAATGATAGTCAAACCGACGTTGCCTTCTCATTAGAAAGAATATATATATGTAACCTATTTATATATATATATATATATATATATATATATATATATATGTCTTTGAATATATGTAGTGAAGATTTCTGCAAACTGAATTCATCAAATATGATCCTTTATTCACCACCATTTCCTTCATTTCGAAGTTCAGAGCGTGTGTCGATGAATCACAATGATAGTCAAATCGACGTTGCCTTCTCATTAGAAGGAATATATGTAGCCTATTTATATATTTATATACATTTATATTTATATATTTATATATATGTCTTTGAATATATGTAGTGAAGATTTCCGCAAACTGAATTCATCAAATATGATCCTTTATTCACCACCATTTCTTTCATTTCGAAGTTCCTATGTTACCGTGTTATGTCAACTTACGCAAGCATGTCATCGTGGTCCACGTTCCATCCGGCTTACATGTCATGTTTCCACACGGCACAAATCCCACTTGGCACCTCAAAGAATGGTTTATCCGAGTGAACTGTCTGACGACTGAAGAATCGACGTATTCTACAGTCGGTGGGGCCCTGCAGTCTACAAAATATATAGTATAATGTATTGTTGAGGAATCAGCTCCTGAATTTATTGTACTAAAACAATCTTTATTTATCAACACTGTACAATAAGCATTCGTTTCATAAACTTCAAAACTTGTTTGTATTCAAATTTGGACACTAAAGATACAATATTCCACTGACTTTCAATGTGCTTTAAGGTGAGTGAGTGTGTGAGTGAGTTGAGTTTTACGCCGCACTCAGCAATATTCCAGCTATATGGCGGCGGTCTGTAAATAATCGAGTCTGGACCAGACAATCCAGTGATCAACAGCATGAACATCGATCTGCGCAATTGGGAACCGATGACATGTGTCAAGTTACTGTCAACCAAATCAGCGAGTCTGACCACCCGAACCCGTTAGTCGCCTCTTGCTACAAGCATAGTTGCCTTTTGTGGCAAGTATAGGTTGCTGAAGACCTATTCTACCCCGGATCTTCACGGGTAGCTGCTTGATCAACAACAGAGCTTTAAGGTGAGGAGAATGAAGATAAATAACGCTATCATAAATGTTCTACGTGTTTATTAGTACCTTCTGTTTAGCTATTCGTGTTGGTACTTACATCTCCCCCAGTAGTGATTTGTCAGTTAGTTTGATGGTTGGGTTCCCTGAATTGAAGCGATTGGTGCAATAGTGGGCTAACCATCAAAAGCATATTTTCGAGAAAAATCTATATCCTGCTTTTGATTTTGATTCAAAATCATATACAACTAATTTTTAAATGTAATATGTTATCCTACTGATCTGAGTAAACAGTTTTATCCCGTTCCAGACAAGACTGGTTCTGATTGTGTATAGCGCTAGCACTGGCGTCCCTATTGGATACTCAACTCTTGCAGGAGGAAATATCATCTCTGTCGTCACTGGAAGAAACAAGCTTATGTGTTTTATTGTTATATAATGACTAGATTATTGTGGTTTTGTGGTGAAACACAATGTTCCTCACAGGTATTACTTCGAATCAAGGACAATAACGTTTTGGATATATTAAAGCATTTATTACCTTTGGCAAAACATATAAAAGGTCACTCTGACCTAACGTAACCAGTAAGTATCAATGACATACATTTCATGTTACTTAAACACGATGAAACACCTGGCATCTCAAATATAAACCCAAACACACTCATTAATTTCTACAGCCGTCAGGTTATAACAAACCATTGTGTCAGAAGGTGCCAATACTAAACAAACAAGACCTCTAGATGAATGAGATGTTTAGATTATGACTCGTATATGACGGAAAACTACCTGTATGCCCCTTTACAAATCCAATATTCTCGGATTTTGTTTGGAATGTTGTGATGTCTATGCCAGGAACCCCATCCGAGATTCTCTTACTTAATGCTCTTTCCACTCTATCATTACTGACAGCCTTTGTGCATGTTTGAATGTCCACCAACAATAACGTGATACTGACGGCTTTTCTATCGCCTACTTACACTGTATCCAGGACATATCAGCGTTTGGGTTTATCTGAATGTAACCTGTCAGGTAAGATTTCTGAATATCAAAGTCTACCAATCAATACAAAGCATTGTAAAGTTGCTCTCGATTGCCCCATGTCATTCGCTCAAAGCACTTAATTGGGCGTTTACAGTTGCTTCCAACAGTTGTGTCTATAGTGTAAAGTTGATCAGAGTTTCGGTGAGATTGTCTCTCTTTCCGGCCTCACTTACCAATGTTTACAGTTCTCAAGCGCGAATTATCTGCCTCCTGTTGCAGGCTGGGAAATTCATTCTCAAAGCAAACAAAATAATGCGTTCTGATTGGTTAAAATTACGTTCTTGATCATACACAACTAATGCCTAAAGACAATTTCTAGTTTTATCATCAAGAAAAAGAAAACCCGTTTGCCGCAACGCGAGATGCTATTTAGTCATGCAGGGCTGTTCCCAGGGAAGGGAGGTTACTCTTCTGAACACTTCTGTGGCCATATCTCTAAATGTGAAAGGCACCAAGAGCTGCAATTTAGAAAACACAATTCTGGCATTTCCCTAGGGCTAGCCACCTCCAGACATCGATAGACCAGTACTGGTTGCACGGCTAGGGTAGTGAAGACGAGACGAGATCTCACAAGTAAATTTTAAAAGGGGTGGTTTTGAGCTTGAACGGACTTACTTCTAATCTCAATGAGCTAAACGTTTCCGCTTGGCTGCTATATTTTATACTCTTTGTTTCTGCTAATACCGGGATTACAAACATTTCCGGGATTGCCGGGATACAGTACACTCTACTACATCATGACCTTACAGTACACTCTACTACATCATCATCTTACAGTACACTCTACTACATCATGACCTTACAGTACCCTCTACTACATCATGACCTTACAGTACACTCTACTACATCATGACCTTACAGTACGCTCTATTACATCAAGACCTTACAGTCCTCTCTACTACATCAAGACGTTAAAGTACATTCTACTTCATCATGACCTTACAGTACATTCTACTACATCATGACCTTACATGACATTCTACTACATTATCATCTTAAAGTACACTCTACTACATCATGACCTTACAGTACACTCTACTTCATAAAGACCTTACAGTACACTCTACTACATCATCATCTTACAGTACACTCTACTACATCATCACCTTACAGTACACTCTATTACAACAAGACCTTACAGTGCTCTCTACTACATCAAGACCTTAAAGTACACTCTACTACATCTTGAAATTACAGTACACTCAACAGCATCACGACCTTACAGTACACTCTACAACGTCAAGACGTTACAGTACGCTCTACTTCATCATGACCTTACAGTACACTTTACAACGTCATGATCTTACAGTACTATCTACTACATCATGTTCCTACCCTACACTCTACTACATCATGACCTTACAGTACACTCTACTACATCATGACCTTACAGTACACTCTACTACATCATGACCTTACAGTACACTCTACTACGTCATGACGTTAGAGTACACTCTACTTCATCACGACCTTACAGTACACTCTACTACGTCAAGACGTTACAGTACGCTCTACTTCATCATGACCTTACAGTACACTTTACAACGTCATGATCTTACAGTACTATCTACTACATCATGTTCCTACCCTACACTCTACTACATCATGACCTTACAGTACACTCTACTACATCATGACCTTATAGTACACTCTAATACATAATGACCTTACAGTACACTCTACTACGTCATGACGTTACAGTATGCTCTACTACATCATGATCTTACAGTACACTCTATTACATCATGACCTTACGGTACGCTCTACTACATCATGACCATACAGTACGCTCTATTACATCATGACATTACAGTACACTCTACTACATCATGACCTTACAGTACACTCTACTAGTACACTCTACTACATCATGACCTTACAGTACACTCTACTACGTCATGACGTTAGAGTACACTCTACTTCATCACGACCTTACAGTACACTCTACTACGTCAAGACGTTACAGTACGCTCTACTTCATCATGACCTTACAGTACACTTTACAACGTCATGATCTTACAGTACTATCTACTACATCATGTTCCTACCCTACACTCTACTACATCATGACCTTACAGTACACTCTACTTCATCATGACCTTACAGTACACTTTACAACGTCATGATCTTACAGTACTATCTACTACATCATGTTCCTACCCTACACTCTACTACATCATGACCTTACAGTACACTCTACTACATCTTGAAATTACAGTACACTCTACAGCATCATGACCTTACAGTACACTCTACTACATCAAAACCTAACAGTACACTCTACTTCATCATGACCTTACAGTACACTCTACTTCATCATGACCTTACAGTACACACTACTTCATCATGACATTACAGTACACTCTACTACATCATGACTTTACAGTACCATTTACTTCGTCATGACCTTACAGTACACACTACTTCATCATGACATTACAGTACGCTCTACAACGTCAAGACCTTACAGTACACTCTACTTCATCACGACCTTGCAGTACACTCTACTACATCAAGACGTTACAGTACGCTCTACTTCATCATGACCTTACAGTACACTTTACAACGTCATGATCTTACAGTACTATCTACTACATCATGTTCCTACCCTACGCTCTACTACATCATGACCTTACAGTACACTCTACTACATCATGACCTTACAGTACACTCTACTACATCATGACCTTATAGTACACTCTAATACATAATGACCTTACAGTACACTCTACTACGTCATGACGTTACAGTACGCTCTACTACATCATGACCTTACAGTACACTCTATTACATCATGACCTTACGGTACGCTCTACTACATCATGACCATACAGTACACTCTATTACATCATGACATTACAGTACACTCTACTACATCATGACCTTACAGTACACTCTACTAGTACACTCTACTACATCATGACCTTACAGTACACTCTACTACGTCATGACGTTAGAGTACACTCTACTTCATCACGACCTTACAGTACACTCTACTACGTCAAGACGTTACAGTACGCTCTTCTTCATCATGACCTTACAGTACACTTTACAACGTCATGATCTTACAGTACTATCTACTACATCATGTTCCTACCCTACACTCTACTACATCATGACCTTATAGTACACTCTAATACATAATGACCTTACAGTACACTCTACTACGTCATGACGTTACAGTACGCTCTACTACATCATGATCTTACAGTACACTCTATTACATCATGACCTTACGGTACGCTCTACTACATCATGACCTTACAGTACACTCTATTACATCATGACATTACAGTACATTCTACTACATCATGACCTTACAGTACACTCTACTAGTACACTCTACTACATCATGACCTTACAGTACACTCTACTACGTCATGACGTTAGAGTACACTCTACTTCATCACGACCTTACAGTACACTCTACTACGTCAAGACGTTACAGTACGCTCTACTTCATCATGACCTTACAGTACACTCTACTTCATCATGACCTTACAGTACACTTTACAACGTCATGATCTTACAGTACTATCTATTACATCATGTTCCTACCCTACACTCTACTACATCATGTGCTTACAGTACACTCTACTACATCATGACCTTACAGAACCCTCTACTACATCATGACCTTATAGTACACTCTAATACATAATGACCTTACAGTACACTCTACTACGTCATGACGTTACAGTTCGCTCTACTACATCATGATCTTACAGTACACTATATTACATCATGACCTTACGGTACGCTCTACTACATCATGACCTTACAGTACACTCTATTACATCATGACATTACAGTACATTCTACTACATCATGACCTTACAGTACACTCTACTAGTACACTCTACTTCATCACGACCTTACAGTACACTCTACTACGTCAAGACGTTACAGTACGCTCTACTTCATCATGACCTTACAGTACACTTTACAACGTCATGATCTTACAGTACTATCTACTACATCATGTTCCTACCCTACACTCTACTACATCATGACCTTACAGTACACTCTACTACATCATGACCTTACAGTACACTCTACTACATCATGACCTTATAGTACACTCTAATACATAATGACCTTACAGTACACTCTACTACGTCATGACGTTACAGTACGCTCTACTACATCATGACCTTACATTACACTCTATAACATCATGACCTTACGGTACGCTCTACTACATCATGACCATACAGTACACTCTATTACATCATGACATTACAGTACACTCTACTACATCATGACCTTACAGTACACTCTACTAGTACACTCTACTACATCATGACCTTACAGTACACTCTACTACGTCATGACGTTAGAGTACACTCTACTTCATCATGACCTTACAGTACACACTACTTTATCATGACCTTACAGTACACACTACTTTATCATGACCTTGCAGTACACTCTACTACATCATGACCTTACAGTACAGTCAACTTCATCATGAACTTAAAGTACACTCTACTAGTACACTCTACTACATCATGACTTTACAGTACACTCTACTACATTATGACCATACAGTACACTCTTCCAGTACCCTGTACTACATCCTGACCTCACAGTACACTCTATCATGTCATGACGTTACAGTACCCTTTACTTCATCATGACCATACAGTACACACTACTTCATCATGAACTTAAAGTACACTCTACTAGTACACTCAACTACATCATGACCTTACAGTACACTCTACTACATCATGACCTTACAGTACACTGTACTAGTACACTCTACTTCATCATGATCTTACAGTACACTCTACTACATCATGTTCTTACAGTACACTTTACTACATCATGACCTTACAGTACCCTCTACTTCATCATTACCTTACAATACACTCTACAACGTCATGATTTTGCAGTACTCTCTACTACATCATGTTCTTATGGCACGCTCTACTACATCATGACCTCACAGTACACTCTACTATGTCATGACTTTACAGTACCCCCTACTTCATCATGACCTTACAGTACACACTACTTCATCATGAACTTAAAGTACACTCTACTAGTACACTCAGCTACATCATGATCTTACAGTACACTCTACTACATCATGACCTTACAGTACACTCTACTAGTACACTCTACTTTATCATGACCTTACAGTACGCTCTACTTCATCAAGACCTTACGGTACACTCTCCTACATCATGACCTTACAGGACCCTCGTACTTCACTTAAGGACCCTTGAAATCAGTAAGTGGGGTCCTGTGGACCCCTTATTCGTTTTGGCAATGTAAAACCCTGTTAACCTAGTCCAAATGAGTGAGTGAGTGAGTTTAGTTTTACGCCGCACTCAGCAATATTCCAGCTATATGGCGGCGGTCTGTAAATAATCGAGTCTGGACCAGACAATCCAGTGATCAACAGCATGAGCATCGATCTGCGCAATTGGGAACCGATGACATGTGTCAACCAGGTCAGCGAAACTGACCACCCGATCCCGTTAGTCGCCTCTTACGACAAGATAGTCGCCTTTTTATGGCAAGCACATGGGTTGCTGAAGACCTATTCTACCCCGGATCTTCACGGGTCACCTAGTCCAAAACCTAAAAGGCAACCTTTTCGCTGCGAGTTAAGCCAGGTCTTATATTTTTCAGTCCCCAAAGCAAACTACCAGAAGACTATAAATATATCACACCGTGTACCTACACGCAAGGATACACTTCACTTCGCCGCCATCTGCTTCTAGGCACACAGTGTTGTTAGGACAGGAGTGGTCTTTACAACCGCCTAGTATTCCCTGTAGCAGATTCAGGTGAAAACACACATGAAAGATTCAACAAAGATATCTCTTTTCAAAACTACAAACCGGTTAATGAATGCGACTAACACACACAGACACTTTACACGGGGGAAACTATTGATAAAGAAATTTTACTCAAATAGTACAAAGGTATCTGATTAAGAATGAGGATAACTTTATGGAGATACAACTTCTATATTCTGTGAAAGGCGACAACATGAGAATCTATGTCGAAACGTAGCCTTTCACAGAAGAAAGACGTTGCACGTCCAGAAAATTATCCTCATTCTTCATTACCTCAATTTCTAAAATGCCCATCAGTTATGAATCTGAATAGTCAATGTTGTAATGAACAAATCCTGAACTATACAAATTGAAAGGAACTTCATTTGGCACTGAACATGTGGCATCGTTTGTTTCTACCGCTGAATATACAAAACTAGTGGCCTCCTTCGGCAACAGAGCGATATTCATTTTATTTCTTCAGTTTGTCCTGTATAGGAAGAAATGAAATGGATCTTAAGTTGAAAATAAAAACAGTTCCACATAATATATTTTCCCAAAGGGGGTGAGAAGCTACATCTATTAAACGGGGTTTCTGAGAAGACTATACGAACATTAGTCTGCATGAAACAGGGTTACTATATATTAAGCAACAACAGTCACCTGTGGCCAATCTTCCGACTTAGAGAACACAAAGCCTGGCGCTGTTTCCAAGGAACTTGCAGATCCATCCTCACAACTCAGCTCGCATGTTCCGTCATCAAGCTGAAAGTTGTAAGACTTGCACATAGTTCTTAGAAGACATTCCTTTGCACAGCTAACAATGCCTGCAGTGGTGAATGTTTCAATGACAACACCCTTCAGCCTTGAACCTTGTATCACAGGTAGTTGACTTAAGGGGGAGCATGTCTTCTCGTTGGCGGCAACAAGGGTGAGATATAGAAGACATATGCTGTGAATCCTGCAGCTGATAAGACAAATCATTTTAACTTCACAACATACAACACTTCAGGGAGGTTATCCGTTGAGAAATATATCCTGGATTGTCGGAGTACTGACGAACACAACTTCAGTTCCCACTGACATGTTCCACTGTGATAAGACTACAGATGTCCACAGATACCGTATGCATTATTTATGTTCACAAAGTCACACGTGACAAGTAGGTTTATTGCAGCCTAGCTGGGCGTAATTAAAACATAATCTCATTTGTTATGGTAACCAGACTGTCGTAAGAAGCATGTTTTGAAAAACCTCAACGCATTTGTATCGCAACTGACATTTCCTTTCAAGAAGACGCTTTAACAACACGAACATGAAATGAAACATAATGAATGGTTGTCACAGAGGTCTACTCAATTATATATGTCAACCGAAAGCATAGATTTTATTTAAAACCGTATATTGAGAAACATAGGTCAGATCAGTGTAATGTTTTAGTTGTTTTGCACACTCTGCACGCGGAACAAATACACTCCTTACATCCTGTAATGAAATTGGATCCCAAACGGATTCACGACCATGGATGCATTTTTTCGTGGTGATTCGCACTAATGAGAATTGTCACATTCATGTCCTACACGTCCGAAGCATTTAAAGCTGTGTGTACGCCAAAACAAACATGCGCGAAAGCAGCGAGGCATAGGTTTTGATTATTTTCACTTCGAGACAAAAAGACGTGTTTACAGAAGAATTCAGACAACAACGTCATGACAAGAAACTTGTCAGTTCTCCCAATTGCACGTGTTTGTTCCTGTGAGATCATGTGAATGTTTGACACCATTATCCAGAAAATGTTGTTTATCAGCTACAAGTATATAAATGCAATGCTGACGTCGATATCCTTGCTTAAACCCTCAGGGAGTTTACAGAGAGTCAAAACAGAAGGTTTCATGATATGTTTTATTGATTCTACGCGTAAGTGTTCTTTGTCAACGGCGGACTGGGTACAATCAATGGTGAACCAATCCTTTGATTGACATCAACATCTACCCAAGCAAAAGGCCCGTAAATAGGTGATGAGACAAAGCGATAATCAACGGTATTTCTTGTCATGGTAATAACCATCATCTGAGCTGACTTATGAGGAAGTCTTAAAATTCTGTACACACCAACCCCACAGTTTAAAGTTCTTGTTGACAGAGAATATTCTCACGCCACTGTGGTTATTCATGCACGACATGTTCTGAAAAGGGAAGGTTTATATAATGGGTTCGTACTTATTGTCCTTTCATAACAACTTATATGTTTTTAATATTAAATGTATTTTTTTCAATATGTCGATGTGATGCAATGTTTCGTATAAATTGGTAGTGCTAACATTGAGTGAATTTAGTTTTACACCGCCTTTAACAATATTTCAGCAATACCACAGTGGGGGGACACCAGAAATGGGGTTCACACATTGTACCCATGTGGGGAATCCAACTCAGGGCCTAGATTTTCGAATAGATTTTTCTTAACACTAAGATACTGGTAAGTGTCAAACATTAACATTAACTCACGACAATCTTAGCTCTAAGAGAGCTTCGAAAGTCTAGGCCCAGGTCGCTTTAAACACAAGGCTAACCCGCCGCCCCGGCAGTGCTAATATGTAACATAGGTTACAGTAACGTAAAATGAGTATGCCCCTAATTGGTTTGTAAAGGACAAGGTATGATAAATAGAGAATACTACACGAGGTCTCATTACATACGAATTATACGAAACGAGTGTCCTTCCTATGGTATCTGACCGAGCGAAAGCGAGGTCAGATAACATAGGAAGGTCACGAGTTTCGTATAATCTGTATGTAATGAGACCGAGTGTGGTATTTTTATTTATTACCCACGTCTTACATGCATTTAAATTGACAAAATAGCGTATTTTTGTTATGTTTTTGGTTTCAAACCGAAACCGGTTTCATAAAGAGGTTGCGGAAGAGTTTTGTACTGTAGTACAATATTTGCATGACGTCACACTAATGACGTCACTGCCATGGTAACCGACGTCACGATGCATGTCTCTTGTCATCGCCTCGTACAGCCTCCTACAGTAAACTACTCCGTTGCACCTCGTTTCTTGGTTTCCAGTTGCTTCATTCGGCTAACATCACTGGTGGAAACATTGCGTTTATGTTTTTCGACGGATATAATGTCTCAGTTCGACTCACAATTAAACAGCGACACGGCAACGTTCGCAATGTTTACATTCCCACAATGCATTTAAGTTGTAGAATGAATGAATTCACGTGTTTGTTATGAATGAAAAAATAGTTACGTCAGAATGTGACCTAACTGAGAGGTCATCGGTTATCCAATCAAATCGTTAGAATTTCAGGTCAAGTTACGACACAGGTCAACGCGATACGACACTTGTGTGACGTACCAGATTAATATGCAACTACCCATACGTTGACCACGTGGGTAATAAAGGCCCTTATTGGCCCACAAAATTTCATGATATTCAAAGTTCTACAACATGATAATTTTAGCATAAAAAATGCTAAATATATTGTTGAAATTACTTCCATATGCCTTTTTTATGTTTTAGTGCTGTTTTTTTTCTCTTTGAAGACCCCAAAGTTTACCTATTTTACAATATCTTCGAAAAACCTACATTTTCATACTTTCAGAGTGATAAAAAAGTGTGAGCAAAAGCATGACCCATCCCAATTTTTTCACCGCAGATGAAGAGAATAAATTAGAATGTACTCCTAAAAAATTGTGGTGGGTCACGCTTTTGCTCATATCAAAATGTTTAAAAAAGTACATTTTTCTGTTATATGAAATTGCCCCATACAACATCTCAAAAATAAACATTGGCGTAAAGTAATATCTCTGAAAACTATCCGTCACATTTACACAACTATACCAGATTCATTATTTATTTTGAATGTTTTAGAGCACTAAAATGAACTTATCAAGCATGTTTATTAAAACAATTCAATATCGTAAGGGACTATCAAGGCTGATTACTTTGAGGTAAACAAAGGTAGTTTTTTTGAGACCCTGTTGATCTCTGCTGGAAAAGTAAGAAGACATGAGAAGATTTTTCAAAATATGATCAGGCAGCATTCTAAAGGTGAGAATCTTTGTAATTATGCTAGAATTTTATCATATTTGTTCTATCATCTGTTTAGCAAACCCCTCTGTGTCAACTGGCACTGTCAAATAACACTGGCATTCCACAGGATGTAACTGTGTATAAACATACACATTTTAACAAAAATAATGTACCTTGATGTTTTCTAGGATATATTAGGCTACATTTAATATTGTTAGAATAAGAACATTGTATCATGGTCTAGCAGATGATGAAAAGCAAGCAGACGTCAAGTGACACATTGTTGCAAGGTGTAATATATAAGCTTAAAGTGACAAGAGGTAATAGCAGAATTTGTAGCCTAGTGGTAACAGTGATGGTCTGTCAATTTTTTTCTGTTATCAGACATGCAGGTTCAAATCCTGATGGGTTTTTTCTTTTCTTTTTTTTCAAAAGTTTGGTCAGCCAATTTACAATGTTTAACTTAACTTGTAGCATACTTTGACGTCGGTGCCTTTGATCCCAAGTGTGGTGTAACCTATAGTTACACCACGCTTTTGTAAGCCCCTCCCCTTGCTGCTCAGTCATTACTGACATAAGTCACGCCCACAAACGGCAATGAATGACTCGCAACATTGTTTTACATTTTATTCCAACAGTAATAATCGAAAAGAAACAGACACAAATAAATGGAAATCAAACATTCATTTGCTTGGTACTTAAAGTATTTCCGTTCATGTTCCAACACACTGGTATGCAATTATATTGACTTAGAAATTAAAATTACAGTTATTATAAACATTGGTCACAGGGTTGGTGGGTCGTTCCTCTGTACAACTTGTACAACTCGGGTAGATCACTTTCTGTGTGATGTCTAATAGTTTTGGCCTGCACAAACCGCTGATTCAGACCACCATTGAAGTTCTTTGCATTTTCCCCTCGAAACTCAATGAAGTTACCACGCTGGTGACAACCCACAATTATTTGACTTGAATGCAACTGCCTATGTTCGTCACAAGCGAGCAGACCAAACACTTTGCAATTGTCAAAAAACACAGTATAGGCTTTTTGCACTGGCCTTACCGAATACATTTCTTTCCCACAAAAGCATTTCACTGTCCTCTGTCAGTGGTTCGGCCTGTTTGACAACTGTTCATATACCTTGAGAAGTAATTTTCGTCATTTGTGCACTTAACACTTGACGAAATGGCAAACAGTCATCTCGTTTCACATTCAAGAAATTTATAAAGTTTCCTTGTTCTCTCATGCTTCTGAGTAGTCCCGCCATTATCAAGTATAAAGTTTTGGCTGGGTAAAGAGTACCATCCACTTAACGTGCCTCCATTACGAACTTAGAAAACCAATTGTTTACGTCATCAACAGTGAAATCTTTGATATCAGGTATGCAGTCCATTTTTCTATTATCACGCCACTGATTGAAAACACCTAATTCCCACCTCGTGTTCTTTCTTGTGTTCACACTTTCCGTTTCTCATAGAATATATTTCACATCGTCGTCATTGAATTTTCTTTCATGCACAAACTATCATCTATTTCCTCCAAAACAGCGTTTGTGTCAATTTCAAAGATTCCAAAATCCATGCTTTCCAAATTGATGTCATAGTTTTCTACGACTTGTGATAAGCACAATTCTGACAGACTTTTGAAAACTTCACACTCACTTTCCATGGCCAAGGCAATCTGACTTAATGTAATGTCGTCAATGTCAGTATCCCAACAATTAGTCACGTTCGAACTCGCCATTTTCGTTATTTGCTGTTTTATCGCCAGGACAAACTGAAAAGTGGCGGGAAATTCAAATTTTTCCTCACATCCAGTTTGTGACGTCAAAGTATGCTACAAGTGAGTTACATCACTCCACACTCGTGATTGGCTTGGTTACCTCACAGTTTTGTGTGGCTTTGAATGACAGGAGAATTTGACAACTCGGGGCTCCGCCCCTCGTGTCAATTCTCCTGTCAATCAAAGCCACACAAATCTGACCTTTGAATTATATTCTTTGCACAGATTGATTTTAACACTATGTAAGTGTTAAAAGTCAGTATTTACAACATTCTTGCAAATATACAGTAAACATCTCATTCACAAAATGTTGTTACAATAACCAGTCATGTTGCACTAAAAATCAGGTCTTGACCTCAAAGGGGGCCTATTTCGGGTGAAATTACATTCTTGGCA